AATAAGAAGCATAGAATCATCGAATTGTTTAGGTTGGAAAAGACCTTTAAGATCATCCAGTCCAACCATTAACCTACCGCTAGCCAGTCCACTGCTAAACCAATTAAGGGGAGAGGAGTTATTTCACGTTTCCTGGCTTGGGGGCTGGATTATTTTTTAATGGAAGTAAAACCGGGAATCATTAAGATGGGAAAGGCCCTCTAAGATCATCAGTCCAACCATCAACCCTGCTCACTAATCCATGTCCCCAGGTGCCACCTCTGCCCGTTTTTTGAACCCCTCCAGGGCTGGGGACGCCCCCACCTCTCTGGGCAGCCTGGTCCAATGCCTGACAACCCTTTTCATGAAGGAAAAATTTCTTCACAGAAAGAGTGGTCAAGCACTGGAACAGGCTGCCCGGGGAAGGGGTTGAGTCCCCATCCCTGGAGGGATTTAAAAGACGCGTAGATGTGGTGCTCAGGGCCATGGTTTAGCGTGGACTTGGCAGTGCAACGTTAACGCTTGGACCTGATGATCTTAAAGGTCTTTTCCAACCCAAACGATTCTGTGATTCTGCGAAAGTCTTTGACTGAAAAGCCTGTAATTTAGAGCTGTTTTCTGACAACTCTGTAAATCGTCGGCTTCATTTCCGTGGCTTAGCCAGCCTCAGAAATGCATCAGCAGAATTACAGCCTTCTAAGTCACTTATTTATTCTATAGACTGTCCTTTGCTGTCATGGGGTTTATAATCCAATAAGTCTCTGTCATTACATCCTCTAAGTAGCTCAGCCCTCCCCAAACACTCCAGCCCAAAACCACGCAGGTTTGACAGATGCAGAGCTGCTGGGGACGGATTGGAGGCCCTCCCCAGGTATTACAAGAAGCGAGGTGGGTCAGAAGTGGTGGGTATCACCCTGGTTATTCAACACGTGCATTTAGACATCCAGCACTGTGATGAAATCCTCCCAGCAACCTGCACGAGGGTTGCAAAGAGCAGGGCAGGTCCGACACGCGTTGGGACCAGGCTGGAGGAGCTGCCTCTACCTGCTCTCCTTGCTTTTCCTCCTTGCTGACATCCACGGACTGGAGCAGGACGGGCGATGCAGAATAAACTCCTGCACTTTAAGATCCCAAACTTTCCGAGTCAGTAAATGACAGCTCTCATTTGGGGTTTGGCAGTTGCCGGAGGACAGGCTATGGGAAGAATTTCTGAGCTGTACGTGAGCCCGCAGTTCCTCTCCAGCCACAACCCAGCGCAGCTCCAACATCCCTCATCTTTCCCAGCGTGCTCGCTCTTCTGCGAGTCACAGCACCCTCGGGGGAACACGCGTAAACCCAGTCCTTCCTCCATCCCCCCCAAAAAAGGATGGACTGAAACAACTCCAGGCAGGATACTAGATATAAGGAAGAATTTTTTTTTTTTATGATGAGGGTGGTGAAACACTGGAATGGGTTGCCCAGAGAGGTGGGGGATGCCCCATCCCTGGAAACATTCCAGGCCAGGTTGGATGGGGCTCTGAGCAACCTGCTCTGGTTGAAGATGTCCCTGCTCATGGCAGGGGATTGGACTGGATGACCTTGAAAGGTCCCTTCCAACCCAAACCTTTCTGTGATTCTATGATTCTGTGAAGGACACCGATTGTTTTGGTCTTTTCTCACCCAGCATCATCTTTGTCCTGTTTCTGGTCACGCTGGCTGCCATCCCCCACGAGGGCAATACCGGCTGCTGTGGGGCTCTGCCCCAAAACACAAGGCAACCTCAAAACACAAAGCAACCCCAAAACACAAGGCTACAGCCTGCCCGTGCTGGCCACAACCTACCTGTTTTCAGCACGACCAAGTGAGAGGAGTCATCTCGGATGTAGGAAACGGACGCGATGTCATGGATGGGGACCCTGAGGATGAGATCTTCTCCATCCCTCCACACCAACTTGATGTTGTAGGCAGAGAGACTGATGACAGCATCGTGTTCTTGGGTCAGCTGCCCTGGGAGCTGGTGTGCTCTCTAAAATAAACATATTTCCATTGATTTGCTGAACTTTGGTAACGGCCTTCCCTCCCACGGGATGGAGGACACGAGTCAGACCAGCACCCAACCCCAGGGAAGCGCCAGAAGCCTTTTTTTTTTTCTTTTTTTCCATGCTGCATGTTAGACAGACACTACACGGAGTGGGTCGTTCAACAGGCTGAGCGCTCACCTTTGCATTATCGATCAAATGCAGGATTTCCGTGCGGCTGGAGGGATTCAGGTACCCTGGGATGGATGTGAGTTGACCTAAATACTGGAAAAGAAGAACCAAACCGTTACCACAGCACGTACACGCTAAGCACGCCTCCGAACATGCCAGCTACTGCAAGAAAGACACCCTCAATGCAGAGCAAAGAGCTGGTGCCCCAAGCCCCTATTTAGAAGCTGCTAAATCCACCTACGTATGGAAGATCTCTCACGCCTTTAAGTTATCCTAAGGCTATATATAGTTCTATACGAGCCCCAGCCCCAGCCAGGCAGACGTTACCTTCACTTCTTTCTCGATGTAGTCGTTCAGCAGCACGTCGGGTTCGACGCGGTCAGGCAGGGACACCACCACTGTATGCAGAGGCCGTCTCTCCGTAACCTTCTCCTGGGCTTTTTTATCCCGACCTTTTTCACCCTTCAGGAAGACTCGTTTGAAAGGAGACACTATTCCAGGCTGCCGAGAGAAAGGGAAACATCGGGGCATTGGGGTTAAGGGCGAGAAAGGGAGTTTCTGCACCGAAATGGGGGGAAACCAGCAGCGCTCCTCGGGCCCGTACATCTGTACTCACAGCCTGGCTTTACCAGCCCCAGCCACCCTGCGGACAGGCTGGTTTTAGAGCTGGGGTTTTTTAGGAAAAATTTCTTCAAAACAAGCATTGGAACAGGCTGCCCAGAGAGGTGGGGGAGTCCCCATCCCTGGAGGGGTTCAAAAAACGGGCAGAGGTGGCACTGGGGGCCATGGTTTAGTGGGCATGGGGGTGTTGGGTTGATGGTTGGGCTGATGATCTTAGAGATCCTTTCCAACCTTAGTGATTCCTAGTTTTACTTGCATTAAAAAAAAATCCATCTCCCAAGCCAGGAAACATGAAATTACTACTCTCCCCTTAATTGGTTTAGTGGTGGCCTTGGCAGTGTTAGGTGAATGGTTGGACTGGATGATCTTAAAGGTCTTTTCCAACCTGAACGATTCCGTGATTCTATGAATCCACAAGTGCATGATCTTCCACCAAAAACCCCTTTCCCCAAACACGCTGCAAGAACGCAAGTGCTGATAAGCGCCCTTTACCAAAACAGGATGATTTTTCCCCCAAAGTCATGATGTCCAACCTTTCAGTTAAGAACAAATACAAATTATATATTCGGATTAAGAGCTGTAAGAGCGAGCGAGCCGTGGCCACACACAAAACCAGCAGGCTTCCTCCTCGCCTCGGTGCAATTTTATATTTCACCCGAGCATTTGCAGTGAGCAACTCGACGAAGGATTGCAAAAGGAAAAGGCAGAGATGCTGCAAACTCGCCTGAGGTCTCAAGGGAGACCCACAAAGATGAGCACACGACCCAGAAGACAGCCTCCCCTGGGAGAAACAGGTCTTCGTGCTTCCCAGACTATTGAGTGCTGGGTTTGGGAGAAAATCGGAGCCAACACGAGTTCACCCGGCAGCAGCGTGCACACACGGGCTCCCAGCTATAGAGGGAGCATCACCACCGTCTTCCACCGCAGCACGGGGCAGACAGCGGTGACGCTGCACGCCCAGGGGCCGTCGCGGCAGAGCCGAGCCGTGGTAGATCCCCACCAAGCTCCACACCAGCCTAACCCACAGCTAAATGACCGGGAGCGTGCGCGGACTTCTCCGATTCTGAGTTTACCGGCTCAAATGGATGTTTTGAAGCAGATCCAACGCTCGGGATTCACAGCGGTGTTAAATGCCAGCGGAAAGGCGGAGCTGCTCGGTGGCCTCGCTGCCTGCCCGGCCACGCAGCTCCAATGCCCCAGGCGCACTCGGCTCCGGCTGCCCTGTCCCACTCTCTGCTTCCCACCCCTCAGGACAACGACACTTTTGAGCTTCCCCGATTCTCACGGGCGAGAAAAAGGACTGTACGATCTGCAGAGGCAGCAAAGATGCTTCGAAAGACGAATTATTTACATATAAACCAAGCGCTCCTGCTCAGAAAAGCGCAGAGTACTCTGCAACCTCAAAGAGCAGCAGCCCCCAGCAAATTCAGCTCATCTCTTGCCACCATCCACTGCAGGACCTTGCCCTGGAAACCACCGTCAAGAAGAACTGCCGCAAACCCTCCACCTAAACTGCTTGAGCCTTGCCATAGGACATTATATTTGGGGGGGGAGTGCCACCACCACGCCACCTACACCCAGCAGCGTCCCTCCCCGCACAGCCGCTGAGGCACCGGCTTCAGGTGCACGCCTGGGACCTGCTCCCATCAGGCAGCTTCAGCCTCTCTCATTGCTTTTCTCAATGTCGATGACCGTGAAAGATCTACAGGAACAAGAGAGATCAAAGGCAGACTGAAATAAATTGAAACTGTTGTGCTAGGCTGGGGAAATGGGATGGAAAAGCTCCTGGTTGAATAGTGTTCACCAAATCCCTGAGTGAGCCAGGCATTGCAAGGACATCGGGGACAGCCCAGCCCTGAAAAACGTCCCTTGGACCAGGGAGATAAAAATAAAGCAAATTTATAGGACAAAAGGGATAGAAAACACAGCTACATGATGCTGGCCTCGTGAAAGAGCTCTGCCTTTACAGCAGCAGGACCTGCCCTGCCAAACACTGCAGATTTTAGGGGCAGCATCCCTCCCTTCAGCTGGGCTCCCAAAATGGAGCATCACCCTGCGCTGCGCAACCCAGCTGGCTCCCGCCGAGGGGCCGGGAGACCGTTCCTGGCTCTAAAAAGAAGAAAATCCTGGAAGGAACAGGTCTCACTGCCAAAACCGGAGCATGGGGCTCGACCCTGGTTCTGCCACCCCGACTACAAGGGTGTCCAACCCCAAACCTTGGCTGCCGCTGCATGAAGATCTCGTTCCACCACTGCCTTTTAGGAATCAAAAGGAGAAAGACGCAGAAATCTCCCGCTGGGGTCAAGGCTGTACCACAAATGCATCCCCCTCCACCAGCCGGGGTCCGGCGGCTCCGGGCCCCTTCCACTGTCTAGGCTGCCGGATCCAGCCTAATCCGTACGGAGCAAAACAGAAGAAACTCTCGCTTTTCCTTCGAGGAGGCAGGCAGCCTCCATGGGGCTGGGAAGACGCTGCAGAAGGATTCCCCGCCATCCCGTGCAGCCGAGCCCTGTGGGAGAGCCACGGGCTCTCCTTGAAGGAGGATTTGGGGAGCCCAAAGGCGAGGCGGAGGTGTCACCCGGCGTGACACAAGGCGGAACAACAGCTTCTGTGTTTCTGGGAGTCGATCTAAAACCAGCACCTACCTCGTTCTCCATCGAAATAACCGGCTACGGAGAGCAGAACCAAACCGTGCCGGTGCGGAGTCTTTGGCGGCTCACCGAAAGCACCTCCCGGGGGAAGAGAAGCTGCTACCCTCGTCTCGGGGGCTTCCGAAGCTTGCGGCCCGTGCCGAAGAGCTGGCAAAGCCGTGAGCTTTCATTCGCCTGCCGGCTCGCGGCCAGGAAGTGCGATAACCACAGTTTCCTTCTGTTACACGCAGCAAGAGCGACAAAATAAAGTTGTTGGTTAAGAACCGGCGAGGTTTGGTAACGACGGGGCCGGGCGCAAGTCAAGGCGCAGAAGCCCATTTTGCAAAGCTCGATCCCATTCCCGGCTCCCAGCCACGCGGTCCCCCCTCCTGCACCCCTAAATCCCTGGAAACTCCCCAAAAGCCTCTGCCGCTACAGCCGGGACTCCCAGCCGGCTGCACCGGGGATGGAAACATCCCCAGCGCGGAGGAGTCGTTCACCCTGGTTCCTCCTCCGAGTTTCAGAGCTACTTAGTTCTCCGAGGTCCAACCGCATCTATCGAGACCAAGGGCTGTAAAGCTTTTTTAGGGCCCTTATTTTGAGTCCTTAAGTTTCTTGCTCACGTTAGAAAAAGCAAAGCTTGGAAATGAGGTTAAGAGCTCCCTGCCTGAGCCGAGGCCTCCCAGGAGGCACTTTGGGAAAGCGCGAAGTGTTCAAGCAAGCCTTGCCAGGCTCAAACGTGACCCCGAGAGCCAGGCTCAGAGGTTTAATGAAAACAAGTTGCTAATTTCACGGATGCAGAATCAAATTAAAAAGGTGAAGGCGGCGATTCCCCCGAAGAAATCTGCCCGTTGAGCACGGGGCAAGAAGGTCGCTTGGAGAAGCAGCACCCAAAGATCTGCCAGGCACCCGCAGCCCCTCCGGCGCTTGCACTGAGCAGATTCCCACCTCGGGATGCAAGCGAACCCCTCTGGCACGCTGCCTAGTTAGTAGGTCTGGGGAGAGAAGGATCCTGTTTCTCCTTAAAAGCCATAAAATAAAAGGGGTTTTCCCCTCTCCCCACTTCCCCTTGCCCATGATTGCAATCCCTGAAGGTGATTTCCCAGCCCATCTCCCTGCGGATCCTTCTGGTCCGGAGCCACCTCCTGCGGTAGAACAGCTTGGGCATCCGCTGTAAAAGCCACTGGGATGGGGAGCGGGGGCTCAGCCGAAACAACGCAGCTTGTTTGGAAAGGTTGGGTCCAGCCCCATGCCCAGGAAGCGGCCGGGCACCAGCAGCGCAGGCAAGGGCTGCCAGGAGCTCATTCCCACGAGGTTTGCTTCTCAAAAGCATTTAGGTCTGGAAGTCGGGAGAAGAGGCAGGGAAGGGGTTATGTGACCACCTTGTGCCAGCCAGGACTTGGCATCGCACGGAGAGCTGCAGCTCCTGGCAGAGGACGGCCAGCGTGGTCCCTCCGCAGGGCCTCCTGCTGCCAAGGGCTCCGAAATTCAGGAGGAAAACAGTCACTTCATCTGCTTAACGAGGCATTTAAGACTTGACTAATTGCGAGAGAGTTTCTCACAGTTGGCGTTAACCCAGCAGGCCAGGCTGACGGGGAAAGGCACACCAGCAGGCAGGGAAGGGGGCTCCACGAACGGCAGATGGGCTTTGGTGGGATTTTTTGGGGAGACCCAGCTCACCCGATGTACATTCACATATATTTGAATGAGG